AGAACGCCCATTTGTGGCTGCAGTAATGATATTATTTATCTGCTGAAGGGAGAAATATTGATGTAGACTACAGACGGCCCACACCAGCAGAGGGCGGTAATGCCCCAGTTTGTTCACTGGCTGCTGTAGCCATGAAGAAGAGGAAGGGGCTGGTGACAGCCAAAGTGAACCGCTCCCCCAGCAGTCACTAAACTGGCTCAAACGGAGACATTACCGGACAGCTCGGTGGAAATACAGCGGGGACGTTTTCTAACGTCCACCGGTCACGGGAGGCACGTTTTACAACTTTGAGGCGCTCGGCTGGCTGACTGTTTACCGGCAGTAGTCCCAGTAACGTTGTCGTCGGCGCTGGTGGCAGACTGAGTGAACACTGTTGCTTCGAGTTTTAGCACAAGTAACGTTGACGTTCGCTTCAACGTAAACGCTGTAAAGCGACGGTAACCCCGGTGTTTACAGTCGTATCGAGGACCCGCCGCTCCAGCGTTTAGCCTCGTACATCGACAACACGCCAGGTGGTCGGCGACTTACTGAGGATGGGTGACATCAACCCATCGACATCCCGTACATTTCAGTCGGAGGTGAGTGTTGAGTGCAGCTGTTTGCAGTGAGCAGTGACAGTGAGGCTAACGACGTGAACTCCACTTGTGGTAGCGGCGCTCATTGGGTAGCGTTAGCTCCCTGTGCTAATGTTGACACAATGTTAGCTGCTGGTGCAGAGGTTAACGAACATAAGTTAACACACGCCGAGGATCCAGACAGGCTGGGTTTAAACTGTCACCTAACGCTGCTAAAGCTTGACTTTGTGTTGTGAGTCGTTAATGTCGCTGCAGTTCGCTCAACGTATCGTCGAGAATAAAACATCCCATCATCAGCATGCTAACATTAACGTTAGCTCAATACGTTGCCATCACAAGCACAGTCTGCGTTTACCGTCGGATAAAAGTTGGCTAACACTGATGCTTTTATGGCACTCTGTGACTCTTTTTATTTTAATTAATTTACTGCTTCATAGTTTAGTTCGCTGGTGAAACAACACCGACACTAGCCAGCAGCTAGCTCTTCAGCGTGAGTTACTTATGTGCTGTCTATCGCTAGCAGAGCCAGCTAGCGTTAGCTGTCTTGTGTTAATCGGTGGGGGTTGGTAGAAAGGTTCGAGTCCACAGAGAAATGTGTCCATGTGATTAATGAAACTTTGAGCGACGTTTGTCGACATGTTTATTTTTAACTCCGCTTCGTTCAGTTGTTGTTTGTCACTTTACAGAGTAACGTTGTGGTTGTGTGTCGATCATGTCGGGATGTTTATGTTTGATGCGGCTAATGTTTCACCGACGTGTCTGTGTTTCAGGACTTCAGTCCGCCGTACAGGAGGAGGAGAACAGTAGAGGATTTTAACAAGTTTTGCACTTTTGTCTTGGCCTACGCCGGCTACATCCCATATCCCCAAGAGGTGAGTGAACGAGGCGGTCAGTGGCTGTGAACACATCTTCACTAAAGGTCGTTGGGCGCGTTTTAAAATGTGTTTTTAAATGTTAATGCAATCAAATGAAAACACGGATACAGTGAATAACAGAATCTACACGCAAAGACCGACTATGTCGTCAAAATGTCTGTGATACAGTAATAAGACAATACAACAGTTTTATCACCTGAGAAAATAACTGGATGGGTTTATATGAAAATGTTTAAAACTTGAAGGAGATTTTAACTGACTAGGAAAAAAAATCCTGCATATCTGTTGTGATTGAAATTGAGCAGTCTAGACTTTGTGTTGTTGCAAGTCATTGACTGAGAAGATTTAGTGAAACTGTTGGCAAACTGTCTTAACAAGTAAGTCGCATATCATTTTAAAATCTTGGAACTGTGGCAAATTGGATATGAGACTCTGTTATGCTCATTGAATTGCGTCTTGTGCTGGGGGACGGGGAGTGAGATAGCCAGACAATGAGATTATCTTAAACAGAGTCTTTTGTCTCTGTAGTTTCTCTGGCTCAGAGCGTTTATTTTAGTTTCAGCACGCCCTCTGTTAAGAATTAACCATAGCCTTTTCTTACCATTCACATGTTAGACTACACTTTTGCATACAACATACCAGTTCTGACTGTTATTAGTGTAACAAATGACTTCATGGCCTCCTGTCTAGATTGCTGTCTGACATTTCTGTATTCATACCCATTCTCTTACACAGTTTGTCATGGTTGAAAACAATGGTTTTAATAAAAGCATAGTGATAAAGAAACAAGCACTTTCACTGGCCAAAACACTGAACCCGTGTCCTGTTATCAAGGGGGGCTTTACAGTGTTGGATCCACTGTCTGTTGTTACACACACCATCCAAACTCCAACAGGGGAGACCCTCTAGGTGGCAGGGATATTCTGGTAAGGTTTCCGTGACCTTTGTAGCTTAGTTACTAAAATTGTGGTGATACTCTCAGTTTTGCAAAACACAGCTTGAAAATTTCATGTTGTCATTTTCTTTGAAACCAAAAACAAAGCGTGACACGCTCTTTTTCAGTGCGAGCACAATTGCTTTTGTCAAAACTCACGTTGGACACATTTTATTTCCTCACCCTCAGTGGCAGGACTCCTAGATTCTGACTCATTTCGTTCTAGTTGTGGTTTTTATCTTCAAAGGTTTTTTTTTTTCCCTTCACCATGTTGCTCTTCTGTTTCTTTCTAACACGTCCTAGCTTTGTTTTCATTTCCACTCCCTCTGCCTGTACACTCTTTGTCACGTGATGCAAGGCTGTCCTTTGTTGATACTCAAATAACATCTTGATTGAAATACTGCAAAATTGTTGCCACTTATGGATATATAATAATATGAGAGCTCATGGAGGTCTGAATTAAAATGAACAATGTAGTATGATAAATGATTCATTCAAGCTGTCATGACAGTACTTAAGCCTGCAGTTTCATTACTGGTCGCTCTTTAAAATTGATTCATAAAACCAGCTTTGCTGCGTTGTTACACAAGGGAATTTCTGACACTTTCTGATTCCTACGATACAGTGACACTCATTCAGTTTATACCAATTAAAATTATAACCAATGCCAGTATAGCACCTAACCCACACACAGATCTCTAAACTAGCACAGCATGTTATGCTAATCCTTGGTACGATGTCAATGTGTTGATTGAAAATCATAAATAATACAAGACAGTCATTTTATTGTTGAGTGCATGAATGTTTGCAAAGAATTGTCAGACAGATTTAGAATCTTTCAACCACCTTTGTCTCCTGATGTGAGTTTGCATTCACTTCTTAATGTATTGTTACAGGACTCTCCTCTGCGCAGTAGTTCCAGCCCCCCCAACAGTACCGGCAGCACAGCTGACAGTGATGGCTGGACCCCGGGACCCCCAACCTCCTGCCCCCAGCGCCCTCCAAAGGTCCCCCAGGACAGGAACAGGAAGCGTCCACAGCCAGGAGCCCCGCTGTCCAGTCACACCAAGAAAGATGTGAGTTGAATTGATGTCACAGCATTAGTCTTGTATGTTCACCTTCATCCCTTTTTGACATCTGTGCTTTGTTTTCCTCGTCTGCAGCACACAATCACCACCCTGCACCCAGATGACCGCAGGAAAGCTGACAAGCTGAAGAAGAAGAAAAGGAGAAAGGAAAGGGAGCATTCAGCCGGGGAGGAAAGTGAGGTTCAGCAGGCCCACTCAACAGTCCCAGAGCTGCAGTACCCCGTCTCCTTTGGTGGGCGAACGATCAAAGAAGAGCCAGAAGACGATATCAGCATTCCCCTCCAACCGCAGCATCTGCCCAGCCCCGCCCCCTGCAAGGAGGAGCCCAAGGAGGAACGTCGACATTGGGATGGTCAAGACCTCGAAGAAGGGGTGGTAAAAGTACAGAAGGTGGATGGCTTTTCAGGAAACAGGAAGGTGTTCCGCCAGGGGAAGCAGGTGGTGTTCAGAGACGAAGATGGCTCAGGAGAGGATGAAGACATCATGGTAGACTCAGGTAAGGATTCATACTGGTGCATACATTACACTGTTAAAAGTTTGTGAACAAGCTTAACTCAGCGTGCGCTCTCTCCTGACTTCTCAGACGACGACTCGTGGGACCTGGTGACGTGTTTCTGCATGAAGCCTTTTGCAGGCCGGGCCATGATCGAGTGTAACAAGTGTAACACCTGGATCCACCTGTCGTGCGCGAAGATCCGCAAGAGCCACGTGCCAGAGACATATGTGTGCCAGAGCTGCCGAGAGACACACGGAACGCCAGATACCCGTCGCTCCCATCGCTCACGTGTAGCCCCCAGCAAACACCTGCTAGACTGACCCCCAGGCCAAACCCTGAACTCTGACCCCCTTCCACTCCTGCTGCCCCTCCACCTGCTGGACTGACCCTTCCTCAAATTCAGGTCTTGCACCCGCCAGTCTCTGTTCTGCGTGGTCAGACAAGAACCCACATTTTGTATAAACATTTTGGTGGACCTATCCCAAGCCTTTATCCCATTTGAAAACAGTTTGAGTGCTATTTTAGATTTACTAAGGTTTGTGTCTGCTTCCCTACAGACTTTGTGCGTAAGGCAATCACTGAATGGATGTCCGTCTGTAGATGACATTAGCATTAGCAAACCGCTACTGTTGGGACTTGGTGTCTCGTGAACACTGGAAACGTTTGAACTGCCATATAAAGAGAACACAACTGCCACCCACTATGGTGCATGCTGGGATTTGTGGGAAAGACAGTTTGCACTTTTCTCACTTTTGTAAAAAAAAATGATATCCATCTGACCTTTCTGGGGACAGATATGTCTTTCTGATTAAACTGGATTTGATTTCTCTTAGATGCCTCTATTAATGTTACACAATTAACCGTTTCAATGAGAAAACATGATACGCCTTGTGTTAATTGCTTCAGATGGTGCTATAGTATTAAGCTGAGGTATAATCCAATAGAACAAAGATGTAGGATAAGAGAATAGAGTCTGCATCTGCTTCTTCTGTTTGTTGTTCTGTTTTGTCATTTTGACATTGTGAAAGAAAATCACTGAGGCTTTAAGCCTGTACAGCTGAACCAAGCATTCATTACTCTTCCTTCTACTTCACAAACTGTCTTCCAGCCTCGGCTACTCCTCTGAATCAAGATCTTACTTGGCTACATGTGGAGCTTTCACACACTTTTCAAAAACGTTTAAACATTGTTCTGATTTTGCTTATTTCATTCTATTGCTACAGAGGTTTTTCATAGTAAATAACTTATTTCACAGACAGAAACTGTCAAGACTTGGATAACATGAGTTTTCAACTGGTTTTCAGTAAAGGTGTTTTCTGTTGCATCTGGTCAGTGTTTTGGCTGCATTTCATGACAGGATTGAACAGTGGTATTGTTAACGAATACTTACATTTTCCAAACCATTATTTGTATTTTCCTTTTTTCTTTCTGTTTCAGAACTGTTTCATGCTCATGACAAAGTTTTCAGAGACAAATTATATTTATAGAAGGGAACTCCTATAGCCGTCCTGTTTAAGTATCAACAGAAAAAAAGCTATCTTAACTGGAATAGTGTTGTTGGAAATATTCTCTCAAGAGTCCAGTTTAAATTATGCATGTGTGTGTGTTTGAATGGATAAAACTGTACGAGGGTGTTGGCAATGCATGTGCTGCTATGAGTTATCTCAACTAAGCTCCACAGTTTTTGGTCTTTTGTAAGATGGAGAAATGGATATCTGCAAAGTACCATGGGCAGGGTTGGGTTTTTTTTGTTTTGTTTTTTTTTTTGTCTCTGAAGGGTCAGATCAGAAGAACAGATCTCCGTCTCTTATCGCCTCTCACTAATGTTTTCACAGCAGTATTCAGTTGCTTCCAGATAACGCAGGGTTTAATGGAAAACATGTTTTTTTTGGGGAACTTTTTCCATAAAGGTTGCAATTTGGATGAAAGATTTTAAGCTTTGTTATTCATGTGCCATCTGCTGTTGTTTCTGATTATATAAAAGCCATACTGTAGAGTGACAGATTTTAGACTCAGAGCCTTGGATATTTAGTCCAGGATGAGGTTTTCCAATGCAGGATCAATGACTTGTCCAGGGAACGACTAACACACACAAATGAATGTTTGGTTTGTAAAGAACACAAGACTTTCCAAGAGTTTAAATTGGTTAAGCTCATCTCTGCACTCTTGTCTTCTGGTATTTACAAATGTTGGTTAACTGGTTCGTACCCAGTGAACACCCAGGTGATGATGGTTTTTAAGGTTAAGGGTTTAAGTTTCAAGACCTAAAATCATTTGCTGTTTCTCAGGACATTCATGTCTTGAAGAGAACCTGAAGACACCTTCAGGCACAAATTTCCAGTTTTAGTCAGCGTCTTTAAGACATTAGTGTAATTAATGTTAACAAAGCTCATTGTGATACAGCTCGTTTAATCTGATCCTGGGTTGTCCTATCCCCTTATTGAGAAAGCGTTGTCTGTACTGTGGTGCAAACTGTTTCTGTGAAACTATTGTAAACTATTGTAAATAAAGAGTTACCGTTTTAACTGGTTGCTTTTTGTCTTTTTGTATCACAAACATCAAACAAGAGCGTGATTGTTTCATATTTATTGTAGTCTTTACAGGACAGAACACAGGCTCCCGAACCATACAGTACATTTACATACTAATGTGAGTCAGTTTGGATGATGGGCTGGGGTGTAACAGCAGGGAGCAGTCTTTCTGCTGGCCTCATGGTGGCACTGGAGCAGAGGTGAACAGCTGACCTGTCAAAATACTTATACATCACACTTAAAACAAGAGTACAAATAGAACCAGTGCAAAATGGCTGGTGTGATAGTGACCCTAACGTTAGACCACTGGATCTCACTGTAGAGACAGACAGTCCGACTAAATACTGAAACATCTATCTCAGTGCTGTTTTCATTTGAGTCTACCCACACCTTCAGGTCGATCACAGCAATGGCAAAACCTAAATGAATCAAAAGGAGGGCACCGTTTAGAGTCACCCCGAACTCTGAAGTTCAGTAACAGTGTATAGCTTCGATTAGAGGCTTCGCCACTTTCATGACAACTGACCTCTAATATTTGTTTGAAATACTGTACATTGTGTGCAAAATATTACCTTTGTACTCAATAAAATATCAATTGTATCCTACAGTAGTGGTTTTGATAGTGTTTTCAAGGATTCCCAGCAGCCCATGACAGACATAATGTACTAACACTCGCTCACTCGCATTTCCCTTTGTGGTTACAGTTTCAATCCAACTTTACAACTACTGACACATAGACAGATTGGGGTGAGGAATAGGGGTTTATAGTTGTAATGTGCAATTTATAATAAAAACTTTGGGACTTCTATCTATATCTGAACAGAAAGTGCATCATAGGATATTTTACTCTTTCCCATGTCAACCTCACCCCTCTGATAGCAACAGCAGAGGTAAGTTAGTATGTGGATGGTTTTAGCATCTTATACATTACCATGTAGAAGAAGTAGTAACATGGCATTTGCAGATTAATTAAAATAAAATTGAACAAAGAGAGAGAACTGCAAATTAAAACAGTCACACGAATAAATCCAGCTGTGTAAATGTGCCATCATCAGTAAAATGGTTTTAGTGTGGCTCAGGTCAGCTCTAATAACAAGTTAGTCAGCTGCAAACATGACCTTCACAGAAAGCGTTGACCTACACCCTCTACTGGTCGCATCCCAACCATAAACTAGGGCTTAGTGTTGGATGTACTCGAGTGAAATATAAACTATAACCTTCACCGCATTAAAAATCATTGTCAAAAATTCTGTTTTTGCTGCCACTGTGCAGTTAATCAATAAACACTGACGCAAATCAAATCTAAGTGGAATTTCTGCCTTTAAACTGCAGTGTAGCCTGAAATATAAAGAAATCTGTATGAAGAATTCAAGCCTGTCTCTCCGTGGCTGGATCAAAGGGCATCTCTATTACTTTCCCTTCGCCAACTTCTATATCACCAACCCCCTCACAGATATAAGTTTTGAGCACCAGTTTTCACCTGCTGACTGGCACCCCCATGAGCAGCAGACATGTCACTAAAAGGCATGATAAAATAGGATGACACATTTCAACAAGTAAACATAAACACGAGTTACACATCAATCCTCAAATCCTGGCCAGTCTCATGGTCGCCAAGACACAATCCTGCATAGTGTTACTCTAAACATTTGCATGAGTTAGTGAAATGATACAGTATGTTATAACATTATTAGATTAAAACCTACCAGGGGTGATACACAGTATAGAAACTACAATTATATGGGGTGATACTACAGCTCATTTGTATATAACTGACATAATAAATGTCAATACACATTTTTAAATTTATCACTTTTAGCTCATTATTGATGGGACCATCAGTCCCCTCTGTGTAGTGCATATATAAAAACTATGTTCAGGGCCAATGTCTTATCTCCTGCAGCAGGCAGATATTTGAGCAGCCCTGTCAAGTTTGGCAGACTAGAGACACAAAGGATGACACCTTGTAGAAACTCTGAGCTGACTCCTGTATTCTGCTGAACCGCGGAGATGGCCCACAGGAGAGGGAGGAGTGGAGGAACTCGATAAACAGATTCACTAATACCATGACAGAAGAGGACCAGAGGAAAGAAACAGACTTATTGTTGATGTGTCCCCCTCCGTTCTTGGGTTCTTCCGTTTACACAAAGTCTGTTTTTATCTGCATTTGCCCTCTGGTGCTCCAACAGCGGTGGGCTCCTAAGACTCAGACTCAATTCTGTGAGCTGAAAGACAAAAGAAATGGAACATGGATGCATGCATATACTGCAGACTTTAGTCATGTTGTAATTAGTGAACAGCTACATTGTAACAGCACTTAGTCTGCATACTAACATTGCTTGGGTATCCGTAGCGACTCGGTGTCTGCAGAGATGACTTGGTGCATGACACCTCTGAACTGGTACAGTAATTTAAGACTCTTCTCCTCTCCTACACAGGGGTCATAGAAGCCCGGCAACCCTGCCTGCACACAGAGAAACGATTCATACACATGCATACAGATTTGTGGATAATCAAAAGGACGCAGTGATACGTTAACACACACACACCTTAGAGGACTCGGTGAGGATGAGTTTGGAGTCCTTGACAAGGCACTGCAGAGGCACAGTGACGTCAATGACCTTTGCTTTCTCTTGCTTCTGGCTGGTGTCTGACACAAACTTTCCATACCAAGCATTCAGGATGATCAGGCCTAGACAGACAAGTACTTTCATGTTACTCTGGGTGTTAGGAGGTGCTGTGAACAGAGCTCATAGAGTGATCGATCATATAATCAGATGCTCCCTTTATACTAGTATAACAGGAAATCCATTTGCACGCTGAAATCATAGTTTTGATTTATGCCGGTGTACACTCTGGGGTTCTGTGCACAGACTTACAAGCTTAACCTACGTAAACACTGCAAAAGGGAAATGGGCTACATCACCACTTGGTTCACAGCGGTAGATGATGGAAGAGAAACTAAGGAAAACAGAGTCCTGGAGCTACAGTATATTACTACAGTTAACAGCAATCCTGAGATATGTGTTTGAATTACACACTTGGATTTTTACCAAGTTTTGACTGCTGGCTGCAAACTAAAAAAAAGTTCACAGTGTCTCACCCTGTTGTAACATCTGTGTGTGTGTGTGTGTGTGTGTGTGTGTGTGTGTGTGTGTGTTCCCTCACCCATCTTGGATTCTTCCGC